TTAAGGTCACTGGTTAATGGTCAACAGTCCATGTTGCTCTATATGCTGAGTGAAACTTTACCTTCATCGAGTTCCTACTCATTCAAGAGTTACTCGACTCAACTCGATGAGTTTCTAACTGACTCGCCGAGTCAATACGCGACCCAATGCTTGGAAACCCAAACTGACTCGCTGAGTCATCTCCTAGACTGGCCGAGTCCACGCGGGACCAATTCGGACAAAAACCCATCCCATCTCACGAGTCATCTCCCAGACTTTCCGAGTCTATACGAATACTCCCATGATCAAGTGATTCTGAATTATTCCTCCGATCCAAACAGTAGATCTAGGTCCCTAGATTGCATTAGCAACGTAAAGTTGCTACCTTTACGTATTTTTTTACATCAAAATATGAATCCAAGCTTGGAATGAAGCTTTACTCATAAGTAAGGGTTCTCTCATGACAATACTGAGAACTTTATGAACTTAGGACCCAAGGGAGGTTCAGATCTGAAGTTTCAACTTTAGATCTAGTTCCCACATAATAATCCCTTCATAAATAAGCTAAAGAAGCCCTAAACTTAAATAAGAGAGATTCTAGAAGGGAAGAGATCAAGGTAATGAGGTGGTTACCTCCAAAATGTGCCCAAAATGAAGTAGACTCTGGATCCACACGGATTTCCTTGATGCTAGCCTCTTGATCTACAAATTTCCTTCACTAAATCGCTTCCAAAGCTCCAAAACACTCACAAGGCTTACACACATGAAAATTAGGGTTATGGCTCTCAAGGGGGTGATAAAAGACAGTGGGAGGCGCTAATGGTCCATTATATATGGTGCAAAACCCCTAAAATTTAGGGTTTCCCCCACCAGCTCCTATTCGTCGAGTCCCCTTCCCGACTCGCCAAGTTAAATCATTAAATGACGTGTCCCATCCCGCTGCTACTCGACGAGTCATAGCATCCACTCATCTGATAAGCCTTAAAACATTAAGCCTAAATTGAATAATAATGATACCTGACAGTTGGGACGTTACACCAAGTTTTGTAATTGAGAAGTATCCGTGTATGGTTTAAAACAAGCACCACGTGCATGGTATGGAACCCTTACTCGTTTCTTAAAGCAATATAAGTTTAAACAAGGTTCGGTAGACCCAACCTTCTTTCGCAAGAAAGATGGTGACAATCTAATGATTTTTCAAATTTATGTTGATGATATCATTTTCGGATCCACTAATCCTAGATGAACAAATGAATTCCGAAAACTGATGGAAACTAAATTTGAGATGAGCTTAATGGGTAGTATTAACTTTTTCCTTGGTTTAAACATTAGACAGAGTTTTGTGGGTATTTTCATCAACCAAGAAGACTACACGAAGACTTTGCTTGCCAAATTTAGCATGGTGGGTGATTCGAAGGTCAAGGTTCCAATGGCGTTCGGAACGAAACTCACTCCATCCTTGGACAAGCCTGCAACTGATATAACTCCTTATGGACAAATGATTGGTTCTTTAATGTACCTAACAACTAGTCGTCAAAATATTATGTTTTATGTTTTGTATTGTGCCAGGTTTCAAGCAAATCCATGTGAACCCCATATGACAGTTGTGAAGAACATCTTCCGATACTTAAAAAGAACAACATCTCTCGGAATCTGGTCCACTTCCAACTCAGGATTCTTTGTGCAAGCATTCTCTGATGCAGATCTTGGTGGATGTCTTCTCGATTGTAAAAGCACTTCTGGTGGATGTCAGCTTCTAGATGGCAAACTTGTAAGTTGGTAATCCAAGAAGCAGATGTGTGTATCCCTGTTTATTGTAGAAGCTGAATACATCGCAACTGCATCATGCACTTCTCAAATCATTTGGATTCAGAATCAGCTAAGGGACTATGGGATAAACATGAAGAAGATCCTTATATATTGTGATTATTAAAGCGCTATTCGTATCTGCCATAACCCAGTGCAACATTCAAAGATGAAGCATATAGCACCGAGGTACCATTTTATAAAGGATCACGTAGATGATGGAAATATTGAAGCACACTTTGTTAAATCCTCTGATCAACATGCTGATATCTTCACCAAGGCGCTACCAGAATCGACGTTTAATCACATTTTACACGGGCTAGGAATGATAGAAGTAGACTCCGTTTCGAAACCAACATCGTAATCATAAAACATTGTTCACCTTCTAAATAGTACAGTCTTGGAACGTCTTAGAATTTACTATTCACATTCCGAATAAATATGAGCCCTCGGAAAGCTTCGGAATCTACTATTCATCTGGTAATTTGGAACTTCTTGTATCATTTGTATATTAAGTGTCTTCTGACTGGTTCCAAACTTCAGAATGATTCAGAAGATATTGTTCTTTAGTGTTTATGAATATTTACTTCTATTTTTATTTCTTTTTCAGAAAATCAAAAATACAAAAATATTTTCTTTATTTATGTTTTATTTCTTTTTTAGAAAATCAAAAATATAAAAATATTTTCTTTATTTTTGTTTTTATTTCTTTTTCAGAAAATCAAATTTACAAAAATATTTTCTTTATTTATGTTTTATCTTTTTTAGAAAATTAAAAATACCAAAAATATTTTACTATTGAGAAGCTTTTAGGTACATATTCATCATGATTTCAAATCAGAATGATGAGGCAGGTAAAACATTTCGAATCTTTGCACTAGTTAAGTGTCCCTAGAAGCATGTTGCTTCTTGTTGACCCAAGTCTCCGAGACTCTATGTTTGAAGCCTTAATGAAACTTTCATTCCGATGGTTTCTTCCCAATCAGGCTAACTAATCACATAAGTCATTGAGCTACCTTACTCTTCTCACATTGAGTTAAGAGTTTACTGCTTAGTCCTTCGTTTATAGTAGAGGTACACCTTCTTTGGAACCATCTTACAATTTCTCCATCACATTCGCTTTCACAATTGTAACCCTTAAGACTCTCAACAATTACCACTGAGGTTTATGGTTACACAACATCTGCATTTATGATCTTCAAATCGTTATCACCACGATTTAAGTGAATCCCAAAATCCGAAACACATTTCTGCATTGACGGTGAACAATTAATATGTTCTAGATAATTTCACCAATGAATTGAAGATTAAAAACTACATGATTTGTACATTTCATATCTTGAAATCTCAATTTTTTATTTTTGAGTGATCTTTATCAAGAGTTATCGACCTAAGACTTTTCTTCCCAAAGGATCCTGTTTTTATTTTTCTTGAGATTTCACTAAATATCCATTCAATTACAAGATATTCCACGCTTACTTGTTTTAATGCAATTTATTATGTTATAAATATAGACCGATCAAACCTCCCCAACTTTATTTCAAACTCGTCCCGAGATTGGCCTAAAATAATCAGCGTAGGCTTACTCCCTAATCCTAAGAAACACTCAATGGAATCATGAATTCCGTACATCTTATTATAATATTTTCAATAGCACAATATATTTATTTTGAGGATTATCAATTGCTTATCCAGACTTTTAAAATCAAAATACATGTTATGCTTATTTTACTTTGTTTTTTGAAACCCTTCACTTTTTAAACCCTTTCCAATTATCAACCTCATGAGTAATCAATTGAACTCATTGTCAAAGTCCCCTTTTCAAGGTTCACTAACATAGTTAGCGCGGTCGGTAACACTTAATGGACCAACCCATACACTCCTGCTGTCTAGGGGTCACATATTGTTTCACACAATGTCTTCAACTTGAACTTTTCTTCATATTTATCTTGATTTTGCATTCTTCAAGTTCTTTGATGGCTTCATCAGAGTTGATCATTTTTGTATTTGACTTGAGCTTGATTATATATACTTTGAAGTTCTTCAATATCTTTTGATGGTTTTTGATTGTGTGAAAACAATAATAGTCCCCTCCCAACCCCAAAGGCGCAGGAGTAAGTAAGACCAAGTACTTAGAGCGTGATGACACATATTGTTCGGTTGGGTCCTCAATTGAAAGATTGCAGGCTTGAGCCAAAAACCTTCATTTTTCAAACACTTGGGTATTTCACATAACAATTTTTAAATAAATATAAATATTTTTAAACCGGATGAGCAACCCATAAAATCAATATTAAATATATATTATGACTCTATGTACGAAACTCCTATCATTTTCCATTTTGATGAGTTACATTCAAGATATAGAGAATCTACTAACTCATCACATATTTCATGGTGACCAACTTCAGGATAAGATAATTAAAGATAGAGTTTAAGATAGCAATACATTCATCATAAGTTAAATATCCACAAAAAAAATCATCAAGGTAAAAAAAATATGGAGGACGACACACCTGATGGTACTGATGGTAGAGGCGATTTTGATTTCCAAAATAACTTCACTAGTTGGAGATATTTGCATAATGTTTCGTTATGCCCGAATAAACATTTAATAATTATGATTTTTTTTTTTTTAAAAAATCACTTTTTATTCAATCCTCCATCTTTTTCTTGTGTACACCCCTTCCTAACTTTAAGTCTTGCATCATCCTCGATGTATCAAAAGATAAATTCCTAAAATAATAAAAGAAACCAACTACAAGTACACAAATCAAATCAAATAAAAATAAACCACACTAACTAGCCCTCAATTTCGTCGGGGTCCACGATTGCACTTGGCACGTGCAACAAGCCTTTTAAACCCCTAGGTTACCCCTAGTGGACGAGTGAAGTCTCGTGAGGGTTTGCAGTGAACTTACCCACAAAGTTCCAAAATTGCCAAGTTTAATGTCATTAGCGGGATAGGTTACCTCGACCGATGTCTATGGAGGATCATATGTTAGTTGACTTCCTTGAAAGCCAACGATGAGGTTGCACACCTTACTTTGAGGAACCAGATCATGTGGCAAGCCTTTTTTGGCCTTGTGCAAATCAACTATTTTGCGTTTAATCCTTCCATGATGATCCTTAAACCTTGTTTTGAAGAGCCATGCATCTTTCCATATAGTAAACTTCTTTAATCGATGCTTGATATCATGTAACACTTTCATTTTTTATTTGTGGGCATGTGTTGCATCATGTTTTTCGTTCCACAAATTTCTTTCCATGTGTTGAATCCCACTATTATCTAATGATTTCGACCAGTTACATGAGAAAATTTTCTCCAAATCGAGGGTGGTGTCGGAGAGCATATTTGCGGTATGCTCATAGGCATAATCATGAATAGTATTGATTACACACAAATCACCACTGATTGGAGAATCATTAGTAGGTCCAAACACAAGACATCTCACCTTATGGTTTCCAAATAGCATATCAATTGCACCTTCTTGACAACCAATCTGAGCATAGATGGTTGCCAATAAGGGACGGTCAATGATTAAATTTGTTTGTTTGTATTTTGAATTTATTTTAGAATCTGTTAGAACAAAAAGTTGTGTTTCAGGTTTTTTCAAAATTATTGGGTAGGGGATGTTATTAGCCTCCACAAACCCCTCCCCAACTTTGGAGTCTTCCAACTCATGAAAATCTTCATTATACTTATCCAATTCAATTTCAACTTCTTTGATTTCAGTAATACTCCCAGTCTCCTGATTATTTAAAGATACATAATCCTCCACAACAAGCTCTAGTTCGGGTGGTGTAAGTTTATGCACTTTGTTATCAAATAATTTATCACTACATGGAAAAGTTACCTCATTCACCAGCGTAGTGTTTGAAACATTGTCTGAAGGTTGTTGATTTAGTTGCTCAACTATATGTTCTAATTGTTTTTCAGTAACTGAAATTGACTTGGAGTTTTCATATTCTTTGTTGAAGGTTTCACTCAATATGTCCAACATTTAATCCAACCTTTTGCTAAATGAAGATTCATCTGATTCATGATCGTCCAGAAAACAAGGTGATTCATGGTGTTTGCTTTGAGTTGAATTGTCAGTCCACCAACAATCATCATGATATGGATCATCACATGTATCATCATTATATGACTCATAGTAGAGATCATTATAACATTGATGTTGGGTTGATTTTTATCACTCCCACCACATATCTTGATTCAATTCTTGTATTCACCACTATGCCTACAAAAAAATAACAGTAAACGAGTGAAGATTCTAAAATAAAAATAAAACAAAAAAATATAAAGACTACTTTAACACAACAATTCAAGCGCACAATCTCCCCGGCAACGGCGCCAAATTTTGATCGAGGTTGTTGTCTCAATCAAAAATAACCTCAAAACCACTAGATAGCTAGGGTAAGTAAGGGTCGAATCCATGAGGAGTTTTTGGTCAAACTTTGTGCTATAGTAGTCAATGAAAAAGAACTAATACTTGAAGTTGTCATGAAAAATATTTAAACTAAGATTTAAATAAAAAAACTAGAATTTTTATATTGCAAACAATTACCAATGAGAAAAACAAGGTTACTTCAGGTTCAGTGTTGGATGATTAAGACTCACGTGTTTATCTTCCCTTAAATTCCAGTTTAATTACCTAGACATAATTAAGGTCAATTAACATGCAATAAATAACTTTGGGCACACAATATGTTATTCCTACTAATTGTCTTACTCCCTATGTCTAAATGGATTAGGAACAATGAGTGACTTGACAATATTGTGTTTTATGATTATCAATTACAATGTTTAGCATTTAAAATCACAAGTTTGGAATAGTATATGCTGATTCAACCCATCGTCTTAGTTCCTAAACTATATGAATTCGACACGATTAGTGAGTTGACAATAAACTATCTTAATTGTAAAATTAAACGCATGAATAACACCCAACTTCAATTATCATTAATAGAAATCATAAATTTAAGAGCATATAATAACCAAAGTTGATTGGAATAGAAGTAATAATCAAAACACGTTCATCAAATCATCCTAAACATTCCCGGAAGTAACCTAGGTGGTTTAGCCTTCCACAGAATTCACAATACACAAAACTTGAATAAAAACAATGTAATTCATAATAAAATTCATAAACCAACTTGAAATCATAAAACTAATAAAATCTAATGATCAATCAATCATTGAACGATGAAATCTTGGAGAAGAAGTAACCAAATCGGAAGTTTGATGAAGATCCATCGGTTGAACGACTTTAATTGTTGAATGATGATGAACTTGGTGATTTCTAGCCTCGGATTCAGAAATTGATGATCAAAAACGTGTTTGGAGAAGGTTTGAACGTGTTTGGAACACTCCATAACTGGGCAAAATCACCGAGGAGAAGTCCCATTTCGATTAGGGTTAAATCTCCTTTAAATAGGTGCTGAAAAACTTATTTTCGGAGCTGTTTTCCGCATCGATGTCATAGTGGGCGTCTTAGACGTCATATAGGATGTCTGGGTGTCCTTTGGGACGTTTTACATGCCATCTGTAGTCCTTGATTTGCACTTTAAAATGGCCTAAAACGGGTAGGCGTCCTACGAGGCGTCTTAGACGCGTTCTAGGACGTCCCTCATCTTTGTTGCCCCGTTTTGATGATGAAAACGGTAGAATTAGTAAAAACGCAAGACATGAAAGTTTTAGGAAATTTTGTCTAGTATTTAGAACTTCTTCATTAATGTAAATTGGAGCTCTAGATATTGAGATATGATCAAAACATTGAAGAGTGGTCAAATTTCTCAGCACCATTTTTCTTAATTCTTTTAGCAATTCGTCTCCCATGCTTGTTAGCTTCATGTTGCTCATTTTTCTTGCAGTTTACACCCAATTTTAGTCGTATATAATGACCTACATATAAAGTTCAACAACTCATCAAAGTAGTGCCACTCTTGGGCAATCACACAACAATTCAACATATTTAGTACAATTTATTATGTTATAAATATAGACCGATCAATACACCGGTCAAACAAGTACTTCGTTCGGATTTTCGAACTTATGTTGAGTTTCAAAATTCGATTGGAGCTTCAGCCACTCATATAAGCCTACGAAAAGAAGCCTTTCACCATTTCTTCATAAATAGATTATCATAATTTAACGGGAAACCAAAAAAGAACTTTCGAATCTCTCTTGATTCCGAAGGAAGAGATCGTTGCTCGGGATCCAACTGCTTTTGTGTCAATTTTTAATTGATATCACAAAATCCGACGTATATAAAATTGTTTTATCTCTTTGTTCTTTGGTACATTCTTGCACAAAAATCTTTATGATTTATCAAAGTCTGGTTCTAATTTTTGTTGATTATTGTTATCCAGAATTCTATTTGTGGATGATTGGCTGATTGTTCTGAAATTTCAAAGCTAAAAAGGCGGTAATTAGAGATAAGGATTCAAAATTAGGCGTGTTATTTTCAGTTTCTTGACATCATGTCTGTCAGTTACATGTCGTCTGATGCATCATGACCTGTTACACTTTCACAGACTACTTTTCAGGAATAATGGACTGTCAATCGCCGATTTTCTCTCACCTATGGTGACGTATAAAAAGAGTTTCGTCGATTGATTTTCTTTAACCGCTATCAAAGAATTCAAAATCTTTCAAGGAAAAAAACCCTCTTTTTCTCTACATTGTTCATCTTCATCTTCAAAGTTCTTCCATGTCCGCCTCATCTGAAACCACTTCTTTTTCTAGTCAAACCGCTTCTACTGTCATGTTGAACATCAATCTGTCTTTGGATCTTGATTCGCCGCGTTACTCTGACTCCCTCAAGCTGATGATTGAATGCTTGCGTTACTCTCCACTGGCTCAAGCCTAACAATGGTTGAATCTGTACCTTTGGTTCATCTGTCCAAGGCGTACTCATCTGCAAACTACAGTTAGAGTGAAGGCTTGATTACCTTTGAGGTCGATTCAAACAAAACCTCCATCTCCAAAGCCCGGTTCTGCAGGATGCTAGGGTTTCCTTCTACAAAAGTTCTTGTCGATCTTGAATCAATCTCTTCATCTACAATCATCAATATGTTCTATGAAATAAAGTATATTGGGGATATCTCACTGCTATCGAAATTCAAGAAGCCCAATCTTCCTCCTATGTGGAATGGACTCTTTACTCTCTTGTTCAAAAGCTTCTCAGAGAGAGTTACTGGGTCTGACAGCGCCAACAAGTTTTTCTGCACACTTATCTACGGTCTCTATATTGGTGTTAACCTAGATCATGGTTCAATTCTTTGGGCACAACTTCTTCAAAGCACACTCTCGACCTCCAGGCATTCAGAGATTTCTTGTGCTCGCTTTTGGTCTATCATCATGCAGCGTGCCATCGTTCGCCTCCAGATTTAATTAAATGATGACAATGTACTAACTGATATTCCCATCATGCATACTTCTAACTTTATGGTGTCTGAACTAACCAATTTTAGTTTCATTGGGTCTTTTCAAGAAGCCATGTTGATGAATGTTACTGTTGATAATTTTGTTGTGAATGAATACCGAAAGAAGCCTCCATTTGATGTTCGTCCTATGCCATAAAATCTACGAAAGGCTATTGATGAGGCAAACAAAACAAAATGTGGAGCAAACCGAAAGGGTAAGGCAGGTCCTTCCGACCCTATCATCACTCCGAAGAAGAAAGTTAATAAAGTTGCTCGGAAACCGAGGTCACTATCTCCCGTACAGGAGGATTCGGGATTATAAACGCAAACTGAGAATCGGGAGGGTGAACTTGTTCAGAAAGAAGTTGAAAATACTGTTGCGACCTCGAAACATCCCACTTCTACTCCCATTCTGAATGTATCTTCTCCACCCACTACTTCCATTCTATTTTCTTATTCTTTCTAGATACACACCCCACCTCCATCTCCGAAACACTACTTCATCTCTACTCACCACTTTTGTTCCAATAACCATTGCCCCACTACCAAGGATATATGTGGGCATTTCTCAACCTCAAATTTCTATTCCTCTTTCCACTCCCTTCTATACCGACTCAACAGCAACAACAACTACCTTTCTTAATACTCTAATGTCTACTGTCAACGTATCTGATATGGGGGCATATGATTTCGGAGTTACTGTCGGTCCAAGCACTTCAACAGCTTCTCCTCTTCATGAAGAAGATCATGATATCATGTTTGGGGATGATCAGGAAAATATACATGATTTCGTTTTAAGTCCCTTCACATTCCATCAAGCAAGCGATGATGACGAAGCCTCAATGACAAAATGGCAGTTTAAAGCTTCAAACGAAAAGTTGGATAAGATTTTGGAGTCTACCAATTCTTCCACCAATTATGAGTACATGTTACAGTCTCATTAGGCCACAGTGGAAATTCTAACCAAAGAGAATGCAAAGGTGCTTGCTGCCTCAACCAAGACTATTGAAGCATCTGCAAAAATTATTGCTGATACAACCGAAAAAGTCGAAAAACTACATGCAAAAGTCAAACAGTTATGGCTGATTTCCGAAGCTCCGCTGATAAGAATACCGAAGTGGCAAACAAATTCATTACGAGTCTTAGAACCACTCTTAAGATAGAAAAAGAAGCACTTTCCAAGATTCGTTCTGCCATCAAGGTTGACAATGTTGAGATGAATGCTTCCATCGTGTCCAAGATTAAGCAGCTTTAGAACGATCTTGTTGCTGAAAATGCGATCATGGAAAAACTGGCTCAGAAAACTGAAAAAGTCAAGGTTTTATCTGTTAAACTGAATTACGAAACCACACATCTGGATCACTTGTAGTCCAAGAAGGCAGTGTATTGAATATGTATTAAAATTTCAGTACCTGCAATGCCTTATTGAAACTCGTGACTCAATGCTTATGATTTCAATCCGACAACACCTCTCTACGAAACTCAAGCTTGTTTTCACACTACTAAATCGGCTAGAGGGTGTTTCGGGAAGCATTGCTATTCTGAAACAAGGGGGGATAATATAGACAAACAA